GGATGGGGAGGGGGAGGCGTCATATCTGACATCCCACCCCTCCCTCTCATCCCTTACCATGGCGCAGATCCCCTCTCTACTCGCACAGTCGGATGTCGAGCAGGGCAATGATCCCGAAAGGGTACGCGATGCATTGTAGAGCACGGCATGGCATGGCGTAGAAGAGCACCGCAAAGCGTAGTATCAACCTAGCATTGCATTGCATGCCGTGGCATGGCACGGGAAATGACGCCAGCGCTGCAGCGGGAGCACGAGTCGAAACGAGCGGAAGCGCGGAAATGAGGCCAGCGCTGCAGCGGGAACACGATTCGGAACGAGCGGAAGCACGGAAATGAGGCCAGCGCTGCAGCGGGAGCACGATTCGGAACGAGCGGGGCCCGAAAATGAGGCCCGCGCCTCAGCGAGAGCAGCATTTTGAAAAATAATGCAGGCGAAAACCCAACTCCAGGGAAACCTGTGTGTAAAAAAAACAGTACGCGGGAGGGGTCGGACACTTTCAAACCGTCATCAGGGGAAGAGGGAGAGTCGTATTCATATAGAGTAATTGTGGAGGTCCCCGTCGAGACACCCCCCAGGCAATTAAAAAATCACGACGGCAGGTTGTTCGTTAATTTCGGCCTCGGGAGCCCTGTCTGGGCCTCGGAACCGTCAAATAACGACTCGGGATGAAACACTGGTCCTGGGGAAGGGGTCGAGAACTTGAGGTCGACATATCGGGAAAACGTAAGACCCGAGTAAGCTGGAACTAGGGTTTGTCGACATTCTTTGACGAGCGCGTCCTGGATGTTGACGGTCCAGGCGTCGTGGGATGTCTGCAGCTGGAGCTCGCGTCAAATTTCAGATTGGGTCTCGCCAATTTGTTATGATGGCCCCGTCAGGCCAACCCGAGTCCCCCGTACCCGAGTCTTACGTCTCCCCTGCTGGTGTGCGTTGCCCGATATCGAGCCAGTCAGCACCAGACGCTGCAGTAGTGCCAGATCCGAGACGCTACAGGCGGCGAGCACCGTCTTGGCCCAGTAGACTCACTGCTTAGAGCACCGTCGAGGCCCAGTAGACTCACTGCTTATTGCCTTATGTTTAGCAACACCGCCTCCTCCGCTCCATGCACCTCGCCCCATCCCCCTCGAGATGGGCAAGACAGCTTCGATGACGATAGGCTCATTTTTTCATCGTGGGGTAAATGGTCTTTCAGTGCGTCTTTCGCCACTGCTTGTTCCGGGCTCGGCCCGGCGAGAATCTATGCGGAGACCCGCCGAACCCCCCTTGACCTTTTCCCGTCTCCGCATCAGCTCACCCACGAAGCTGGGGTAAATGGTCTTTCAGTGCGTCTTTCGCCACTGCTTGTTCCGGGCTCGGCCCGGCGAGAATCTATGCGGAGACCCGCCGAACCCCCCTCTCAGGGTTGCTTCTATTGGGTTTGGCCTGTCCTTCGCGGGGCGGGCGGGCTGGGCGAATGAGGCCAAGCACATCAGACATGACCCACCCACCCACTCCTGAAGGCCAAATGGTTGCGGAGAGAGGCGTGCGCGCACCTGCACGCGCACGAGGTGTGTGCGAACATAAGACACAGTATGCTGCGCATACAAAGAGCTTATGTTTAGCAACACCGCCTCCTCCGCTCCATGCACCTCGCCCCATCCCCCTCGAGATGGGCAAGACAGCTTCGATGACGATAGGCTCATTTTTTTATCGTGGGGTAAATGGTCTTTCAGTGCGTCTTTCGCCACTGCTTGTTCCGGGCTCGGCCCGGCGAGAGTCTATGCGGAGACCCGCCGAACCCCCCTTGACCTTTTCCCGTCTCCGCATCAGCTCACCCACGAAGCTGGGCGGGCGAACCACGCGGATGGGCTGTCCCCACGCCGTGGGCAAGTCGCCAAACTGGAGGCGGCTGGGCGCATCAGCTGCGTTGCTCGCGGACGGAACCCGATCGAAGTAGGTCGCACTCCGGGCGCGCTCCTCGGCAGCCCAGAACTCACTCAGGAGCCAGACATTGACCTCAGAGGGGCTGTGCCCTTTGATGAGTCCGTACCGGGCGCCGTCATTGTCAACGAAAGCTAGCACCGATCGCCCGCCGCCCTCGCTGAAGTGGTCTGGCCACTTATGCCTAGCAGCGATCATCGGGAGAATCTCGAGCTGGGCGATGAGCTGCTGGTGGCCCGTCTCCTTCCGGAGGAGGTCCATGAGGGCGCGGGGCACGACGCATCCGAAAGACTCCGCTGTCTTCGAGACGGGGTCAATCATGACCGCCCCGATGCTTCCCCTCAGCTCCTCCCCCTCCCCCTCGCAGGCCCCATCGGTGAGGAGGACGAGGGGCGGGAGGGCGCCTGTCGTGCGGACCGTCCGGGGGCGCGCCGCCTCGAGGTACTCAAGCCACCACCTCAAGGCGACCTCCAGCACTTTGCTCACTTTCCGTCCGGGGCATTTCCCCTCCGCCCTGCGGCGAAGGTGCCACAGACCCGCTGCCCCGCAACGGCCAAAGATCTGGGCAGCGGCGTACTGCAGCTTTCCGACCAGGCTGGCCGCCTCAGGCGGAGACAGCACCCCAGCATCAAGGATGTTGGAGATCTTCTCCTGCATTGCTTTTCTGCGACTCGCTGTGTTGGCTACCACTAGCTTGCCGTGCGACACAGCCTCCGCGACATCGAAATCGACGCCGAGAGCAGAAAATACAACGCTGAAGTCCACATCTTTGGAATCTTTGAGCCTCCAGCCGGTCACCCGCATACATGCTCTGAAAGCTTCTTCGGTGGCCGTCGCAATCACCTCAGGGACCACAAGGGGGAAATCATCCAAGTAATTTATGACCGGCGCCGAAAACAAGCGACAACAACATAGCCTCAATGCCGCTCCTGCTCTGCTGAACCCCAACACGGACCCTCTGGCACCAAAAGGCAAGCCGTGGAGGATGAAATACGACAGCTTGCCGTCATCGTCAGGATCTGGGCACGAGATGACACTACAGTCCCGGTCTATGGGCGAAATTGCGAGCTGCCGGTAAGCCTCCTCGAGGTCAAAACACTTGCCCACCAGCATGTCGTCGCGCCACTGCCTCTTGCCTGTCAGCACCCGGCCCGACTGGAGCGCGAGGCGCATGTCGACCGGGCCACTGAGGAGGCGGCACCAAAGCTTGATGATCGCCGCAATCCCGTCCACCCCTTCCCAAGAGGTGCTCTCCAGAATTGTGGCCGCATCGTTGACTCGCGACGCAGAGAAATCGTCGACGGGGCGCACCTTCTCGCCCTGGGCCACCCCGAAGCGCCGGCTAGGCAGCCACCGCCGCCCGAGCATCTCGTCAAGTTCGGCCTCTGTGTAGGGGCCGCTGGCCAAGCCCCTCTCGGCCTCGAGAATGGTCTTCTTAAAGACTTCGCGCTCGAGCTCGGTGTCATCCCTACGACGGGGCCTGGCCGCGGCCGCCTTGAGGGAAGCTCTGACGGCAGGCGCCTGTTCCCACAACCAGCGTTTGTCGTGCCCTTCTTCAGCGGCACCCTCCGGCTTCAAGGGAAAGACCTTGCTGTGCGGGAAGCGGCCGACCAGCCGGAAGCCCGTCGCCATGTCTCGAGGGAGATCATGATCGACGTGCCCAATCTGCTTGAGCATCTTCGCCATCAGCAGAATGTTCTTGCCCTCCATGACGTTCCTGACGTGGCCGTCCATCTGGGCGTGGAGGGCCGCCTCGCGCACTGCCAGGGCACTCGCTTGGTCAGCCCAGGCCCTCTCTAGAGCGCCCGCGCCCGTCTTGATGTCGTCAAGCGGGGTGGCCAACAGATTGAAGATGCACTCTGCTACGTTGTCGTCCACAACTGGCGGGGCATCGAAAGGGTGCTTCGCGCCCATGGCTGCATCGAGGAACTGCTGAGGGGACCAAGGCACCCCGAAATTCAACCCGGAATGCTCCCCCGTGCTCTCCGTTGACTTGAAGGGGATGGCGCCCGCAGGGATGACCGTGCCATCTGGCCTCTGTATCTCCCCACTGATGGGCTCCCTGAGCACGAAGCCATCTGGATCCATATCCGTGCTGAGGATCTCGCGGAACTCTGGCACCAAACTGTGGCCGAGTTTGGCCCTCTGCCTCCCGACGGGCACCCATGGCCGCGCTTCGCCGCCAGCTCTGCTGCGATCGGTCGCCTGCGGTGGGCGCTCATGCCCGACGCCTGGCCGAGCGTCGGGGCGGCCGTCGACGAACGGCAGCTGATGCGCTGGAGCTCCGGTCACATCTGGCGCACGGGTTCCAGAGGACAGAGGCGCGTCTGCCCGGCCGTCGACAGCGGCGGCCCGCTCACCGCCCACCGCTTCTGCGACGACGTCGCACAGTTGTTCAGGGCACTCCTGCTCGCCGGCCTCACGCGCGGCGGCGCCGATGCCAGGCGCAGAAGAGGCATGCGCATCAAAACTCCGATCCGAGCGCGCGGGGCCCTCGCCCTCGCTGCACTTCAGATCCTTGTATGCTTGAATTAGAACGTCGCCGTGGCAGCGCTCGCGTGGGAAACAGTGACAGATGAGACGCCGCCCTCCCAACTCAGGAAGCTGGGCCAGGAGATCGCTCGACCGATGAAGGTAAGTGGAAAACTTAGCAATTGCAAGGGGTCTGCCCCCGCCGCCCGCGGCCTTGAACGGATTCGCCCATTTGGACCGCCCGGCCTTCAATCTATCGCATCCACGGCCGATGTACAGATCCGAAGGGCCAATGAACGAGATGTCACGCGCGCACCCCCTTGTGGGAGTAGAGGGTGCGCTCGGCCGAGGGCCTGGGGCGCTCGGTCGCCCTCCTGGCTCTCACATGGTACAGTCCAGGAATGTGTGGCTAGGATCCCCGCCGGGGGTCCTGGCCGCGCAGCCGCGCTTGCAGCAGACGTGCAGGCCACGACGGCAGCTGTTCCCGTTCACCTTCTCCCTGCACGTCCCGAGGTTGAACCCGAAGCAGATGGGCGTGCCGTCCGGCAGGGCGGCGACCCCGCCGTTCTGCAGCTCCTTCGGGAGAGGGGTCCTTTTTGGCCCCTTGCCCCTCTTGTCGTAGTCCTTTTTGCCCTGGCCCTTCGGCTGCTGCTGCGGCTGCTGCCCCTTTGCGCGCTTCCGGGCCTGCTCGATGCCGATGCTGTCATCGCCCTCGACGCGCCCCCTCTTCGTGCTAGAAACGCTGGAAGCGGTCCGGACCTTGGGCGCGAGCAGCATGTTGACCTCGACAGAGTCAAGGATTTTCTGGACGTGGGCGTCCGCAGGCACGGGGTCCGCCGCGGATGCAGGGCGGATGCCTTTGGCGCACGCCTGGGACATCTTCTTCCATATCTCCTTGTCGGCCGCCCGGAGGTCGGCCAGGTCAGGGGGGACGTAGCGCTGGGCGTCGGGAACCTCGCGGGTTAGCGCCTCAAAGAGCTTCGCGCGGATCAGCTCGTGCTGCTCGTAGCTCATCACGCCCGCAATGTCCATTGCAAGTCCGCGACGCTGCAGAGCCCATGATATTTTGAGAGCCGACGAGACGTCGGCGCTCACTGGGTCCTTCACGACGCGCTCCTTCACCGTGCCTTCGCTGTCAGGCCCCCACTTGCGCTTGCCCGGCTGCGAGGTGATCTCCTGGTCACGCTTGGGCGCCTCCTCCCACGGCACCCACGTGAAGGTATTGTCCTCGCACATCTGCACGAAGCGGTCGATGAGCGAATTGGCCGGCTCGAGCTCGCCTCTGACCACGACGCCAGGCTCGAGGCGGGTCCGGAGACGATCTTTACGAGACTCCCGCTCGGCCTGGGGGACTTTCCGGGGCAGGTCTGAGTCCGTCCGCTCCGTGCGCTGGCGGAGCTCGCCAACAGCGAGCGCGTGGGACTCGAAGAACAGCCTGCGAACGGCCGCGGTCTGCGGAGGCGGCGGCGCCTCCGGGCCCAAGCCGAACAGCGGGCGGATGACCGCATTCACGAACCTCTCGTCCTCGACCACGCCCCCTGGGCCGCTCGCCATGGCGAAGGCGAAGTTCCCATGGGATGCCCAGCCAAACTCTTTGAACTTGGCGAACGTGGCCTTCAAACCCAGCTCCTCGACGCGCTGCTGGAAGACCGCCTCGGAGTCGATGGCGTTCGCGTGCATCGCCGGCACGCGGTTGTTGACGAGCTAAGTAATCACCTGCCGGCACGGCCTGGGCCTACACGGCTACGGACGAGACGAGCAAGGGGGGGCTGCTAATGACAGCTCGGCCTCCGGTGACTTTCACCGCGTGCCGCCCTCTTTTGGGTCTGGCTCTACGCGCCCCCTCCCGACCGAGCGTGGATGAGGGGCTTGCCGAGTAGGCTGGAGAACCACGCCGGACCCAAAACGATAGCGGATGGGCCGGCACGCCGGTTTTTGGCGGATAGGCCGGTACACCCAAAATAGTCTGGAGCGGCTGCGTCTCTCGCCGGCCGTCCTTATACGAATAACCTCGGTGGCCTCGGAAGCCCCGGGGGCCTGCTCAAGTCACCGGCCGGGTGTGGCGACGTTAAACTGGCCGGACGGTTCTTTGGCGGATAGGCCGGTACACTCAAAATAGGTCTGGAACGGCCGCGTCTTTCGCAGGCCGTCCTATATAAATAACCTCGGTGACCTTCCGGCGGCCCCCGGAGGCCTTCTGAGGTCACCGGCCGGGTGTGGTGACGTTAACCTGGCCGGACGGTTTTTGGCGGATAGGCTGGTACACTCAAAAACATATGGAGCGGCTGCGTCTTTCGCAGGCCGCCCTTATATAGATAACCTCGGTGACCTTCCGGAGGCCCCCGGAGGCCTTCTAAGCTGACCTACTCACGAGCGCAGCTGACGGTACAGCCGCCGTCTATTCTCACCTGCGGAGAAAATAAATCGCACCCCGTGTGCGCACTCTGGCTGCAGCCGCGTCTTTCGCAGGCTGACCTTGCAACCGAAGATGTACGGATGGACCGGTGCACCGAAAATGCACGGTGCCCGCCCAGGAACGACCTCAACCTCCTCATCGGCCGAGTGACACTCCTGAATCTCTGAGAGCAGGCGGGTCCAGAGGCGCCCACTCGGGGATAAATGGCACCCCGTGCGCGCATTCTGGACTGCAGCCGCGTCTTTCGCTGGCTGCCCGTGCAACCGAAGATGCACGGATGGACCGGTACACCGAAGATACACCGAAAAGGACATCGGACCCGCAGCCGGGCCAACGGCGTCTTTCGCCGACTGCCGCCCGCTTTCGGGACATGCGTTTAGCTCCCCTTCTAGCCCCCAAATCGTTTCCGACCAATCCCGGCCGCCCGACCCCGACGTGCACGCATGTGGATGTCACGATGCTCATTGGTCGATTGGCCTATCACTCACGAGTACGGCTGACGGTGCAGCTGCTGTCTCTTCTCACCTGCGTAGAAAATAAATCTCACCCCATGTGCGCATTCTGGAATGCAGCCGCGTCTTTCGCAGGCTGCCCGTGCAACCGAAGATGCACGGATGGACCGGTACACCGAGTGGCACTCCGGAATCTCTGAGAGTAGGCGGGTCCAGAGGCGCCCACTCGGGCGCTCTGGAACGCTGGGCAGCGGCCCCGGCCGCAGGGGGCAGACTTAACAAAATGGGGCCCCCCCCGGGCCCACGGGAGGGGAAGTGGAAAAGGGAGGAGGAATCCTTCTCCTCATGGGTGTGCCGGTGCAGCCGCGTCTTTCGCAGGCTGCTGGCGGCCCGAGGCTTGGCGACGTCTTTTGTCACCGCCAGCAGCGTCTTTTGCTGCCCTAAACATTGCCGCGGTCGTCTTCTGGAAGGGGCTGCTGCAGCTGCGTCTTTCGCAGGCTGCCTGTGGCCCCCTCCGGGACCTTCCCGGCCGCAGCGGCTGCGTCTTTCGCGGGCCGCTCGCGGATGGGCCAGCGCAGCCGCGTCTTTCGCGGGCTGCCCGTGGCCTTAGACACGGCGACGTCTTTCGTCACCGCCAGCAGCGTCTTTCGCTGCCCTAGAAACGACCGCGGACAGTCCCTGGATGGGGTGCAGCAGCCGCGTCTTTCGCATGCTGCCCGTGGCCCCCCAGCGGTTGCGGGCTTCCTCCGCAAACCTCCCAGGGCCAGAGCGGTGGCGTCTTTCGCACGCCGCTCTCGGGTGAACCTAAAGAGCGGCGTCTTCCGCAGGCTGCCCGCGGCGGCGGCGACATCTCCCGTCGCCGCCGGCAGCGTCTTCCGCTGCCCTACAGATGGCCGAGGCCATTTTGTCGCGACGCGCGGTCCGTCCCGCGCGGCGCCCTTTCTGTCTCCCGGCCGTCAGCGACGGGCCGCGCTCTGGCACTGCTTACAAACAGGCTGAATGCCGGATCCACCTGCGCGGCATTCCACGGAGGCTGTGCGGCCGCACGCGAACCTACCCCCGGGCGCGGGCTCGCTCAGCGGGAGAAGGTGGCGGACGTAGCTCCGGGGGTTGAAGTAGACGTCGAAGCCCGCTGGAATGTCCAGCGTGTCGAACTGCCTGGGCATGTCGTGCATGATGATCTCGCAGGCCGCTCGCGCCTCGTGGTCCTCCGCGACGTCGTCGTCGAAGGCGTCTGTGTCAGAATCTGCGCCGTCCGATTCGCCTTCTCTGGTTTCGCAGTCATCTTGCCCAAAGGCTGGATTCTCGCGATGCGGGCCGCTCCCTGTAGCTGCATCGTCCTCGGTGTTCGCACCTGCTGCCCGCGGGGCCGCCCCCGTCGGTGACGCGGCTGGCCCAGCGCCCCCAGAGCTTCCAGCAACACCTTCGCTGCCCAATGCATGGGACGCGCGATGAACGTCATGATCGCCTCCACGGGGGGCGACTTCTTGACCCTCGGCCCACCTTCCAGATCGTGTGGCGTCGGGGTCAAATGCGCCCGAGTTGATCTGTTCAAAAAGCTGGACCACCTCCCTCAGAGGACCCGCGAGGGCATCCCGGGAGTATTCGATGGGCACGCGCTCGCCTGGCTTGATGTGGCCCCCGAGTAACCTCCGGGACTTCATGCTGTACCCCGCCTTAGCCAGCCACGACAATACAGTTGCCTTGCACGAGTGCGACGAATAGTCGCCGAGCTCCTCACCGGGGACGCCTGCCTGGCTGAGCAATCGGCGAAGCATCGCTGAGACCTGAGGCGCCGACGCAGGAACGTCGGCGACGAGGTAGCCTGATTCAGCTGCCGTTGGCATGAGGACCTGGCCTGGCCCAGCGCGGAGTCCAAGCTCCTCACGCGCTCGGAGCCATCCGGCAGCCCAGGTCCCGCCCTCCGTGCCTGTAATGCCCTCTGCCACCGCCACGACGGGCAAACCCAGGCGGGCGCGCTTGAGGCCCCTGGTCGTCTTCGACTTCGCCGCCACGACCTCGATGAAGCCCTTCCCGTCCACCACGTCGAGGTACGGCTCGGCCGTGATGCGCGCAATATCCAAAGCCCTGCCGCGCGCGTGCACCAGCTCGCAGAGGAAGCCGGCCTCCACGCGCACACGAGGGGGTGAGCCGCTCTTAGCAAGGATCTCGAGCATGCGGACATGCCGCACGGCGAGCGGCCTGGCCTTGACGGTCAAGCGCTTCGTCGCCCAGCTCCGGGCGACAGCGCCTTGGACGCGCGCGCTGCCGATCGTCGCCTCCACCTCGATACCAACGGTGCCAGAGCTGAACCACACGGCCTCGACGAAGCTCCTGGCACGCGTGGCCGGGGCGCCGTCCTTGCGCAGGTACTCCACGTAATCGTAAACCACCTGCTCGGTCAGCGGGAAGGCCGCCTGCACGCCTCCAAGCGCCTGCCCAGCCCACCTCAGGAACAGGGCCATGGAGCAGCCCCGTTTGGCGAGCGTGCTCGTGGCCTTGTCAGCGAAGACGTTCCGAAGCAGCTCTGCGGCCGCCGCGGGATCAAGGCGCTCCGCATCCCGGTTGAGGCGGCAGTGCGGGCCTGCGGCCTTCGCGATCACCTCCCACTGACGGAGGCGCATCTCTCGCTCTTCGTGCTCACTGGCTGGGACGGCAGGGGCGCGCAGCAATGCTTCCCGTCGTGCCGCTGGGGCTGGTCGCGGAGCGACCGTGCCGGGCCCCGTCCCCTCCACGGGCTCGTCGAACGCCGAGAGCGTCCACCTCAAGCCTCGCGGCGCCGCCAGCGCATCGGGCGCGGCAGCCTCCCAGGGGAGCTGGAGGCCTGGCATGAGAGCTGCACCGCGGAAGCGCCATAACGCGTTCCAGGCAGTATCTGACCCCATGTGCGAATGAGGCCAAGCACATCAGACATGACCCACCCACCCACTCCTGAAGGCCAAATGGTTGCGGAGAGAGGCGTGCGCGCACCTGCACGCGCACGAGGTGTGTGCGAACATAAGACACAGTATGCTGCGCATACAAAGAGCATCTTTAGGAAGCTTGGACCTCCTGGTCCTGTGAGTGGAGGTCCCTTGCGGCCTCGGGCTGCTCTTCGCTGCTCCCGATCGGCCCGAAGGCCGTGTCGGTGTGGAACTCGGGCGGGAAACCTTGGCCCGTGCCTCAGGCACCCGGGGGATGATGTGCTCGTCGTGCATGGTTGCCTCACGGGCAGGCAGGAGCGGCAAGGGGGAGGGGGAGCGGAAGACACCGCTCAGATCTCGCCCGCGGGCACCTTCACGGAGAACGCCACGCGGACAGGCACAGAGGCAGGCCGCCCAGGCCTCGGGCCGGAGGGCGTACACGCCGGGCCAGGGCCCGAAGATGGCCCTCGTGCCGGGCGGGGTGGCCCCCGAAGCTCCACGGCGTGGCTCCCCGGAGGCCCGGACCCCTGCCGTGGGGCCACTTCCTCCTCCTCCTCCTCCTCTCCTCCTCCTCCTCCTCCCCCTCCCCCTCCTCCTCCTCCTCTCGGTTCCGAGGCTTCAGGCGGGCTTGTCCCCCTACAGGGGGAGCATCGACGAAAAATAAAAGATACCCACAAAATACCCCCAAAAGGTCAAACAGTACTCAAAAGATGGTCCCCGGACAATGTTTTGACGATTTTTTGATTGTTTTTGGGGCATTGGGACAGGCCCGACTTAACCCGAGGCCTGGTGAGGGCCCGCAAATGCCGACCATTGCCAACAACTCCCCGTCATGCTTTCTTCCATGTGGTTCCAAAGGTGACCCCAGGGAAAGGGACTTTAAAGACGGGCGATCCCAATGTCGCACGACGAGTTCACTCACGCTTCGAAGTCTCAGATGTAGTGCCGCGGTCTCAGAAGTCCTTTTCGCTGGCGCCCCTTTCGGAAACGCATCCTTTTCGGCGGCGGTCCCGCCACGCGCAGAGGGGGGTATGGGGGAGGGGGGCAGGGCTTCCTAGAAGCACCCCTTCTTCTCAGAGGGCGCGGGCCTCCTCTGCAGATGCAGGGCAGGCGCCTGGTGAGGAGCAGCCTCCTTTGCGAAGCCCTCACCCTTCCCTCCACCCCCCTTGCGCGCGCCGCCGAGCGTGGATGGTCAGGACAGTCGCGCGCCAGGACAGCCTCTGGCTTCCGCGCGAGCAGGGTGGCAGCGAGCGCGATGCCCCGCTGGCCAGCGAGGTGGGCGCGCCGGCCCTTCTGCAGGAATGCCGTGGTGCGAAGCCCTCCCCCCTCCCCCCACCCCGCGGTGCGCGTCGCCAAGCGGCACGGAGTGGTGCACGGGTGCCCTCTGCGCCTCCCCCGTCGGAAGCCGCCGGGGGCCTCCGCCCTCCGAGCGCCGCGCTGCTCGCCGCCGCCGGCGCGCTCCTCGGGCTGGCGCTGCTCGCGGCGGGCGCCCCGCTGCTCCGCCGCGCGGGGCCGCCGCAGGGCTGGGCCGGCGGCGAGCGGGCAGTCCCGCAGGCAGCCTCGGGGCAGCCAGCATCACCAAGGGCGCCCTCGAGGGCGCGAAGTGATTCGCGCCTCGCGCCTCGCGGTTCGGCTCCGATTCTCTTTTATTTTCCTCCTCTCCCCTGGGAGGCGGCGCGAGAGCGCGAGGTTATTCGCGCTTCGCGCAGCGCGAAGCGCGAAGTTGGGAGCCCTTGCAGCATCACCGGGGCCGGGCTGCGTGGAGGCCGCGCGGAGTTCGGGGGGGGCGGGGTGGAGGAGGAGGGGCAGAGGAGGAGAAGGGTCCGAGGAAGAGGAGGAGGAGAGGAAGCGCAGGCTTCGGGTCGTCTCACTCGGATGCAGCCCTCAGGAGCAGGAGGAGGGAGGGGCGAAGGTGGAGGGGAAGGAGGAGAATGAGGAGCATGAGGTGGACGGGACGATGAGGATGAGGGAGGAGGAGGGAGAGAGGCAGGTGAGTCCACATGCCATTGATCATGTGTTGCCGTTGAGGAGGAGGAGGATGAGGAGGAGGAGGATGAGGAGGGAGGAGGAGGAGGAGGAGGGAGGAGGAGGAGGAGGAGGAGGAGGAGGAGGAGGAGGAGGAGGAGGAGGAAGGAGGAGGAGGAAGAGGAGAAGGAGGAGGAGGAGGAGGAGGAGGAGGAGGAGGAGGAGGAGGAGGAGGAGGAGGAGGAGGAGGAGTAGGAGGGAGAGAGGAAGAGGGGTGTTGTGCGCTGCCCCGAAACAGAGTTGGCCACTCGAGCACCTCGACAGTGCTTTACCTACACGGGAGGCGGCTGCGACGTCATGGGCTGCAACGCAGAGCGGCAGGCCCAGTGCGTAGGCGGCTACTGCATCTGCCGATCGGGTGGCTGCGTCGGAGCCGAGGGCAACTGCCACAAGGAAATCAGGAGGGGAAACAACACAGACACAATTCATCGTCAAATCCCCCCCAAATATGGAAGATATGGGAAGGGGGGGAGAAGACCACAACCAAGAAATATGTATTTATTTGTGTGTCCCTGGGCCCCCTCAGGAGACTGCGTCGTACGAGCTGGTTGCCTCGAACATCAGGCTCCGCAACGTCAAGTACGATGAGTACCTTTACGTGCCCAAGTCGTTTTTCACGCGTCAGTTACGCGTCGGTCCTCACCCGGGGAAGCTTCCGGACCGCTGGAACGTGTACCGAGTCCCTGGTGTCGCCTTCGGGCAGGCGTACCACGTTCTCTCCCCGGTAGACTACCCCGGTTACGTGGCCTCGTACGCCGCTGGCATCACGGGTGACCAGGTGATCGTGTGGGACATTCGAGGCTCCTGGCTGCCCGACTGGGGCCAGAGCAGACCCAGACCCCCGACGTAATGATTTTTTCATTACGTCGACCCCCAGAGGTCCCGACCCTTTCCCCATGACCGGCTTTGCATCCTGAGTCGTTTTTTGACGCTCCCGAGGCCCGGTGAGGGCCCCCAGAGGCCGAAAATTAGGAAAAACCTCCCGTCATGATTTTTTCATTACTCGAGGGGGTCTGGGGACGGGGTCGGAGGACCACGCCGCACCGCCGATGCACCGGTGATGCGGCGCCAGAGGGGGGATCGACGGACCTTCCGCGCCGCCCCTCGCCCGTGCCGCCACGCCGGCCCTCGCCCCTGCACCAGCAAGAAGGCATCGGCGATGCGGCGCGCGGGCTTCTGGCTCCCTCTGCTCGGGGAGGCCTCGGAGATCCCCATGTGGCCCCAGGAGGCCCCCGGGGTCTCCGGGGGTCCAAGGGGGGCGCCGGAGCGCAAGAGGTGCTCGGTCGAGCCCGATCTTCTTCCTGCCGATCTGCCCCGGCCCTGGTTCTGGGCGCTGGACGCTCTATCCGTCCCCCTACGTTTGAGTCGGGCCTGGAAAAATAAAAATACCACAAACATGGTCCAAAAGTAGTCCAAAAATAGTCTGGGGACTATTTTTGGAGTATTTTTTGATCTTTTTGGGGTATTTTTGGGGTATGTTTTATTTTTCGTCGATCCCCCTGTAGGGGGATACGCCCGACATAACCCTACGTCTGTCTCCGCCGCTTGACGCCGCGGGGGTTCGGGGGCGGCAAAGGGGGGGGTGATGACTAGGGGGGGGTGGATATCATGGCGTGGGCCATGATATCTCCCCAGATTTCATGGCGCCTCTTCTTATTTCATTACGCCCCTGTCGCCCCCGCTGGGCCGCGCACATGCCGCCGGTCATGACTTGCACCCCCCCTCTTGGACACCCCCCTCTTGGCCGCTCCCGAGGGGTAGGGTATGTGGATACTCACTCTGGATGGGGCATTTATCAAGTGGGGGGGCGCTTAGCCTTCCGACTGAGCTTGCCCAACCCCGCCCCCCTCCGTCCTCCTCCCCCTGCTCGTCCTCCTTCTCTTCCTCCAGCCGCCCCTCCACCCGTTCCGACAGCGCATGCCCAACCCCCCCAGCGGATTCAAGGGGGGAGCGATGATTGTCCCATCCAGAGTATTTGACGCGGGGATCTGCATGTGTGCGTCTAATTTTCTGCAGTAAGAGCACGTCGCCGCCGAACCTTAGCATGAGCAACTCCTTCATGTGCGAGTGCAGGGGAGACCCATGCCAAGAAATACCCTGCTTGCCTCCAGGGTGCCCTGGGCTTCTTGGGTTTCGATGGTTTTGCCATGGAGAGCGTGACGTTCCCACACCAAAAATCAATGGACGTCCCGGGGTCTCGGGGTTGGGTTTCGCGTGGACGGTTTCTGGTGGTCGAGCCCCTGCTGCGAGATCGAAGATGTGCAGGTCCGAGTTGGATCGCCTCTCTTTGCGTCACTCTGCCGCCGCATGCCGCCTTCTCTCCTCCTCCTCCTCCTCCTCCTCCTCCTCCTCCTCCTCCTCCTCCTCCTCCTCCTCCTCCTCCCTCTCTCCCTCTCTCCCTCTTTCCCCCTTCTGCCCTCCTTTGGGGTGTCCTTCGGGGTGCCCAGGTGCGATGTCTGCCACGTCGCAGTGATCGTGGGGCTCCGAGGGGAGAGCGTCGGAGGTGCAGGACGAGCGCCTCGCTGGAGACATCCCCACAGATCCTGCCGCGAACGCGCAGGCGTCCTGCACCCTGGCGACTCCCCCGTGGTGTGCCGATGGTGTCGGCCACCGTCTGCGGGTCTCTGCTGGAGTCTGCCAGTGTCTGTCGGCGCCTGTGCAGGTTGGTGCTGGTTTCGCAGCCGGCCCCTCAAGCCAGGCCGCCAACGGGCCCGTGGCAGGCACCCTGTCGACTCCTTCGGGGTGCCCAAGGGCCTCTCAAAGGGAAAGGGGTCAGGGGTGCCCAAGCTAGCGTTTTGCCTGAGCCCTTCGCACAGTCCAGCCCCGCGGACGGCACCCTGGCGAGACCTCCTTCGGGTGCCCTGGTTGACATGCCTGCTACATCGTCATAGGAGACGTGTCGGGGGTGCCACAACCAGCGTTTCGTGTGAGACGTCCCCACAATCTTGGCGCGAACGGGAACGTGTCCTGCGTTCTCCAGGTAGCTCCCGCTTGGGATGCTCACGTGCTGCGCCTGCTACGTCGCGGATTTCCTGTGGCTCTGAAGGCAGAGGAGTCGGTGAAGCCAAAAGGGGTCTTTGGGGTTTAGCGTTTAGGGTTAGGGTCCAGGATTTACCGACTCAGCATTGCTGCGAAAAGGCAGCTTTCCTACCCCCTGGCGGCTCACCCTTTGGGGGGCCGAGCGCGATGCCTGCGGCATCGTGGTGGTAGCGAGACTCCGAACGGAGAGAAGTCGGTGAAGCCAGCATGGGCGTTGAGCTCGGCAGGGGTGTACTCCAGATTTCGTAATGAAGGGAGGGGGTCTCATTTCGGGGGGGGGTCTCTTCCAGGCTATCTTGGAGGGCCTGGGGGGGTCTGGGGACGATGTTTTGGAGGGTTCTCCCACGGGGGAGGTCTGAAATGGCTTGTCTTGGAGGGTCCAGACCCCCTCCCTTCTATTACGAAATCTGGAGTACATGATTGTGAGTGGTCCGACTGAGAGAGTCCGAAAGTGTGTGAGTGGGACTGATTGTGAGGGGGTCTCGGTGCGAGGGAACCAGAGCGTGAATGGCCAGAGTGTGAGTGGTCTGCGTATAGGAGTCTGAGCATGACTAAGCGGAGTATGATTGGCTCAGAGTGTGAGTGAGACTCAGGTGTTTGCGTCTCAGCGGGCCTGACTGTCTGTGCGTTTGTTTGTTTGTTTGTTTGTTTGTTCGTTTGTTCGTTCGTTCGTTTGTTTGTTTGTTTGTTGTTGCTTGGTTTGTTTGTCTTCTTGGTACTGTTTGTTTGATTGTTTCTTTAGTTCCTTATTTCTTCATTCATGTAGTTTGTTGTGAGTTAGTTAGTTCGTTTGTCTGTCTGTCTGTCTGTCTGTCTGTCTGTCTGTCTGTCTGTCTGTCTGTCTGTCTGTCTGTCTGTCTGTGTGTATGTATGTATGTATGTATGTATGTATGTATGTATGTATGTATGTATGTATGTATGTATGTATGTATGTATGTATGTATGTATGTATGTATGTATGTATGTTTGTCTGTGTGTGTGGTGTTACTCTATGCTTTCCCTGTTTGCGTATGTGTGTGTGTGTGTGTGGCCGAGTCCGGGTCCCCAGAGTGCGAGCGGGTTCGACTGCGCGTGGCCGAGGGGACGGAGACAAAGAGTGGGGCGGCGAGGAGTCGGAGGCATCCCGCTCAAGTGGAGCAGGAGGAGCAGGAAGAGCAGGAGGAGCAGGAGGAGGAGGAGGAGTTGGAGGAGGAGTTGGAGGAGGAGGAGGAGGAGGAGGAGGAGGAGAAGGAGAAGGAGGAGGAGGAGGAGGAGGAGGAGGAGGAGGAGGAGGAGGAGGAGGAGGAGGAGCAGGAGGCCCCAGAGGCCCGAGCTGTGTGCCCGTGCCCCCCATATGGGGGCCCCTCGCGGGGCAGGGGCGCGGGCCGGGGCGCCCGGACGCCACGCCGACCGCCTCGTCGGCGAGACCACCGTCCGCACACACGCACGTCGGGGGCCCGACTCCGGCCCAGGGCGGGGCCCGAGCGGTGTTCTGGCGACTCCGTGGGCCGTTTTCGCTGCGGTTTCGTTTCGCGGTGGAGGTGGACTGACGACAGAGCGAGGGACAGCGGCAGCAAAACGACAGCGACAGGTGCCGTTCAGCTTCCGGGGGGCGCGGAGTTCTTCCGCGCTTCGCGCCTCGCGGCTCGGCCCGGTGTCCTCCTCGTCCTCCCCGTCGCCCCTTTTGGGAGGCGGCGCGGGGGCGCGAAGCTGTTTCGGAGGGCACCAACTGTACACCAACACCGATCCTGGCCCAGGATCCCCCTGGGCCCCGGATCGGTGTGTATATTCCTTCCTGCGCAGGGCAGGCGGGCGTGTATACGCCGATCCTGGGCCCAGGGAGCTCCTGGCCAGGATTGGTGCTGGTGTATAGCTTGGTGCCTTCCTGTTGCTCGCCCGCCGCGCTCCGCGCAGCGCGGAGCGCGCAGGAGGAGGAGGAGGAGGAGGAGGAGGAGGAGGAGGAGGAGGAGGAGGAGGAGGAGGAGCAGGAGCAGGAGCAGAAGGAGGAGGAGGAGGAGGAGGAGGAGGAGGAGGAGGAGGAGGAGGAGGAGGAGGAGGAGGGGGAGGCCCGGGCCCCAATGAGCGGCTCGGGGCGCCGTGCTCCGTGCGGAGCGTGGGCCTCGAGGGGGCCTCGGCGCTCGGCCCCCCTCCTCGGGGCGGGGCTCCCGCGCCGGACCCGCGGCGGCGACGGCACGGGCCCAGCGGCGGCGCCGACGCCGAGCGCGCCGACGACGGCGACGGCGTCCTCGCGTCGGTGAGAGGAAGGTTTTGGGAGGAGCTCGACAGGCGCGCGCGGCCGACGCGCGAGGGTGGCCCGCATGGCATGGTTCGACGCGGATCGTGCCCCCGAGCGCGCGCGCAATGGGCGCTCGGAGTGGTGCTGGCGTGCGGCGCGAGAGGCCCGCGTGGACGGCCCCGGGGCCCGGGAGGGGGCTCCTCGGGGGCCGACCGCGGCCCAGGGCCTCCCGCACGGATCCTCTGCCGCGGCGCGAGCGGCACGGGCTCGACGGCACCTGCGCGTACTCCAAGGGCGCCCTCGAGGGCGCGAAGCTGTTCGTGCTTCGTGCTTCGCGGTTCGGCTCCGATTCCTCCTCATCCTCCTTTTCTCCCCTGGGAGGCTGCGCCAGAGCGCGAAGTGGTTCGCGCTTCGCGCTTCGCGCAGCGCGCAGCGCGGAGTTGGGAGCCCTTGATACTCGTACGATGTGTGCGTCGCCCCCCCCCCAGGGGCGACGCGCGGGTTCAGAACTCTCGAGCAGCTGCCGGGTGGCGGGCACTTTCCGGTCATGCCGCCTGTGTGGCGGTACACGATCTCATGCTTGGGCCGTTTGTTCGGCTCGGACGTGCGCCTTCAGGGGGGGCGCATGCTGTCAGTGTGTCCTCCGTTGTCCTACGGATGGACTGGGTCACCCCGAGGGGCGCGAACACAGTGGAGACCCATGCCAAGAAACACCCCGCTTGCCTCTAGGGTGCCCTGGATTTCTTGGATTTCGATAGTTTTGCTATGGAAAGCGTGACGTTCCCACACCAAGAATCAATGGACGTCCGGGGTTCTCGGGGTTGGGTTTCTCGTGGAAGGTTTCTGGTGGTCGAGCCCCTACTGTACAGTATGATCGCGCTCCGCGCATCGTGGTCTGGGCCAGAAAGGCTGCCCTCCTCCCTGAGACCTGACGTTGCGACGACAAGTGCAACACCGCGAGAAATCATGACCTGAGCCCTGGACCTCATCATCATTCTGCCGCATCGTCATCATCATCATTAGCATCATCATCGTCATCATCATCATCATCATTATCATCATCATCAGCATCATCATCATTATCATCATCATCATCGTCATCATCATCGTCATCATCATCATCATCGTCATCTTCATCAACCCCATCAACATCAACATCATCATCATCACCGTCATCATCATCATCATCAGCAACAGCAGCATCAGCATCAGCACCATCATCAACATCATCATCATTACCAGCATCATCATCATCAGCAACAGCAGCATCGGCATCAGCATCAGCATTAGCATCAGCATCAGCATCATCATCATCAGCACCAACATCAGCATCAGCATTAGCATCAGCATCAGCAACAGCATCATCATCATCAGCAGCATCATCAGCAGCAGCATCATCAGCATCATCATCATCACCATCATCATCATCATCATGACTATGTCGATCTGTGACAGCCCAGGTGACCGACACCCCGCCGCAAGGAGGCCCGCTGCGAACAAAAATGACAACGCCCAGACCCCAGGGCGCCAGACAGGACAGGGTCGGCGCGAGGGCGCGGGGAGCGCAAAGGAGAGCCGCGTGTCTCGCGCCGCCGGGCGAGGGGGCGCGGGGCCTGGTGGCGTGGACGAGTCGAAAGGGAAAGCAAGGGCGCCCTCGAGGGCCCGAAGTTATTCGCGCTTCGCGCCTCGCGGTTCGGCTCCGATTCCTCCTTATCCTCTTCTCCCCTGGGAGGCGGCACGAGAGCGCGAAATTATTCGCGCTTCGCGCTTCGCGCAGCGCGAAGCGCGAAGTTGGGAGCCCTTGGAAAGATGGACACGGGCATAAGTGAACGCCGAGATCCAGGAAACTGCGGGAAAAGATGGGAGGTGTAAGGGAAGACGCACATCCAAAAACCACGGAACAATATATTCAGGGAATTCTGGACGAACATGGGGAATCCTGGCGACGTGGATCGGGGTGATCGAAGTGGGTTCGGAAAGAATGGGTTCACAGACCGACAGCGTTCCCTGTTGATTTTGAGCAGGACTTGCTGTCGGTGTCGCCGCGGACGTTGTCCACTTCAGACCCGGCGGCCGCCTGTCCGACAGCGGGCGCTGTTGGTCTTGGACAGCATCTGTTCTTGGACAGGGTACCCTCATTCTCCGTACCGTTCCGGGCGTCCAAAGTGGCTACAGTCAACCCGCATGACAAGGATGGGCAACCTTCGTAAGGGTACCCTAACATTCTTCCCTCCTTGGTCCATCCTTGGCCACTCTCGTTGGCCGCGCCCTGCTTGGAAAGCCTCGAGATGGCCGTCCAAGGCCCTTGCATCCTTACCGAGCACGCTTATCATACGGGTTGACTGCAAAGCGTCCCACCCAGACCCCCGACGTCGTGATTTTTCACAATGGTGACTCCCAGAGGTCTGGACCCATTCCCAAGGACCAGTTTCTCATCCTGAGTCGTTTTTTGCAGGTCCCGAGGCCCGGTAAAGGCCCCCCAGAGGCGGAAAATAGCGAAAAGCCTCCCGTCGTGATTTTCTCACCACGCCAGGGGGTCTGGGGAAGTGGCCACAGCGTCGCTCGCCCCAGCTGGGGCGGCCCCTGGAGGCTTGCCCCTCCACGACCCCTGGCGCCTCTTCCGGTCCCTGGACCCCTGCCCCTCCAGGACCCCTGCCCCTCCATTGTCAAGGGCTCCCTCGAGGACCCGAAGGTATTCGTGCTTCGCGCTTCGCGGTGCGGCTTCGATTCCTTCTTATCCTCCTCTTCTCCACTGGGAGTCGGCGCGAGAGCGCGAAGTTGTTCGCGCTTCGCGCTTCGCGCAGCGCGAAGCGCGAAGTTGGGAGCCCTTGTTGACCCCTGCCCCTCCATGACCCCTGGGGCCCGTTCCTTCAAGGGAGGAAAACCACCCCGACCCAATAATTGGCGTTTACCACGGCCCGGGGCGTTTCCGAAAAGCCCTGCGCTGTTCGATTCCTGCTTTGGGTGCGTTTACTAAACGGCCTCGCTCGTCGGGGTGGTTATTATGGGGGTGGATTCAGTACCCTCACCGTCCATAGTGGAGGCCTGCGTCTCGTCCTCGCCCAGGCCTGCCTTGCGTCTCGTCCTCGCCGGTGTTCTGCCCCCTCCGTGACCCCTGGGACTCTTCCGCCCGCTCCGCCCGGGCGCCTGGGAGATTGCCGTGGCAGGAGACCTCCGGGGCACGCCTGGCCGATCCACTGCTCACGCGCCCCGCCTCCTCCTCCTCCTCCTCCTCCTCCTCTGCTCCTCCTGCTCCTCTTCCTGCTGCTGCTCCTCCTCCTCCTGCTCCTCCTCCTCCTCCCGCTCCTCCTCCTGCTCCTCCTCTTCCTCCTCCTACCCCGCTCCTCTTCCTCCCTCTCCTCCTCCCTACCTCCTCCTCCCTCCCCTCTCTGGTCTCTCCCTCCTCCTCCTCCTCCTCCTCTCCTTCCTCTGCTGCTCCGCTCCTCCTCATCCCTCCTCTCCATCCTCCTCCTCCCTCCTCCTCCTTCCGCTCCTCCTCCTGCTCCTCCTCTTCTTTCTCCTCGTGCTCCTCCTCTTCCTCCTGCGGCTCCCTGAGATCCGGGCGTTGCCATCTTTTCACGCCGGGCGTGCTCGACCCGCTGCGGGCCCCGGGGGCCCTCGCCGAGTGGTGCGGCTCGACACGTGGCGCAGGAGAAGTGGGCTCGAGGCTCCAGCCTTTTTTTTTTGGGGGGGGGGGGTAAAAGTTGTCTCCTTTGTTTTTGTACTTCCTTTGCCATTGTCGTGACGTCGGATCTCAGGGCTCGGTCTGAGGATCGAAGGATTTCTGCTCCTTGACTTATTTTGGGGCCACGAGGGCCCTCCAGAGGGGCCTCCGAGGACTTTCGACAGCCTCCGGCAACCTCCTGGAAAGTGCGGGCCTCTTCTTCCTTCTCCCTCGCGGGCTCCAGGAGGGGGCTCGGGTCTAGGGCCCCCCTGACGAGGAGGAGTGCGGGAGGGAGGGAGGGAGGGAGGGAGGGAGGGAGGGAGGGAGGGAGGAGGGAGGGAGGGAGGAGGAGGGAGGAGGAGGAGGAGGAGGAGGAGGAGGAGGAGGAGGAGGAGGAGGAGGAGGAGGAGGAGGACGAGGAGGAGGAGGGAGGAGGAGAGGAGGAGGAGGAGGGGGAGGAGGAGGAGAGGAGGAGGAGGAGGAGGAGGAGGAGGAGGCGGAGGAGGAGCAGAGGAGAGGAGGAGGCGGAGGTTGAGGAGCAGGAGCAGGAGCAGGAGGCAGGAGGAGGAGGAGGAGGAGGAGGAGGAGGAGGAGGAGGAGGAGGAGGAGGAGGAGGAGGAGGAGGACGAGGAGGAGGAGGAGGAGGAGGAGGAGGAGGAGGCTCCATAGGGCCCTACAACGGTTCATTTCCATAGAGGGATTTGCCTCGTTGGAAAGCAACTGTTGGAAGATCCTGAATCATGCCAAAACATTGTTCTTGGGATGTCAACGCCACGGGATGTCAACGCCACGTATCATCTTGGCGATCCGGAATCGTGCCATAACGCCATTTTTGGATCTCAATACCCGGAACCAACATAGCTGTTACACCCGTATTGTCCAGAATCCTTGCAAAACACATTTTTTTTTGGTACGTTGACCATGGGAACCCATGAAACTCTTCCAAATTCTTCATTCAAACGTGCGCGGCGCTGAGGCGAGAGCCACATTTCGAAAAGGAACCGCTCTCAATACGTGGAACTCCTGCAAATGTTTTAGGCGCGGCGCTAACGCGAGAGCCACAAGGAGGAGGAGGAGGAGGTGGATGAGGAGGAGGATGAAGAACAGGAGGAGGAGGAGAAAGAGAAGGAAAAGGAGAAGGAGAAGGAGACGGATAAGAAGGAGGAGGAGGAGGAGGAGGAGGAGGAGGAGGAGGAGGGAGGAGGGAGGAGGGAGGAGGAGGAGGAGGAGAGGAGGAGGAGCAGGAGGAGCAGGAGGAGGAGGAGGAGGAGGAGGAGGAGGAGGAGGAGGAGGAGGAGGAGCTGGAGTACCCTCGGGGAGGGGGAGTTGTCGCAGGAGCGTAGGGGGAGGTGACGCTACGGGCCTAGCTGAAAGCTGAAGCCTGGCATCGTAAAAGAAGGCAAGCACGATGTGGAGGAGGAGGAGGAGGAGGAGGAGGAGGAGGAGGAGGAGGAGGAGGAGGAGGAGGGGGAGGAGGGGGAGGAGGAGGAGGAGGAGTACGATGAGCAGGGACGATGCGGAAGGGGATGAGGACGAGGAGGGCGTTCCAGGCGAAAGGGGGGGTCGGATCGGCCCGTGCGGCGAGGGTCTGGCACGAGGGCTGAAGTGGTACGTCGGCCGCATGTCGTCGATGGTCTGGAGCGACAGGTGGGGGTCGCTGACCGGGGCCGCGGTTGGCGAAGGTGCTCCTCGTCCTCCGCTGCCTCCTCGTCTGCTTCCGCTGCTCCCGATCCTCCTCTTCCCCTCCTCGCCCCATGCCTTGTCGCCTGCTCTCCCCCCTTCCGCCCCTCCCGCCCCTCCCCTCCCCTCCCCGCCCCTTCTCGCCTGCTCGCCCTGCTCCGCCTTGCTCCACCCTGCTCCGCTCCTCCCCTCTTCGCCCTCCCGCCGAAGGCGGGCAGTGGATGCCGGAGCCGCCCGTCAACCTGTCTCTGCCGAGCTGCGGCTGAGCCCGCGGCTCGCGCCCGTGTCTCGCCGCGCGGCGCGCCCGCCTCACAGACACCACCGGCAGGCGCGCCTCAAAACCGAAGGGGGAGAGGGTGCGCCGGTCTGTGAGCCACGCGCAGAGGGGGTGTGGTGGGAGGGGGAAAGGCTTCCCAGAAGCACCCCTGCTTCCACAAGGCGCGGGCCTTCTCCGCAGATGTGAGGCCGGCGCCTTCCTGAGAAGCAGGCTCCTTCTAAGAATCTCTCCCCCCTCCCTCCCCCCCCTTGCGCGCGCGGCCAAGCGTGGATGGTCAGGGCAGTCGCGCGCCAGGACAGCCTTGAGCTTCCACGTGGGCAGGGTGGCAGCGAGCGCGATGCCCCGCTGGCCAGCAAGGTGGGCGCGCTGGCCGTTCTGCAGGAATGCCATGGTGAGATGAAGCCACCCTTCCACCCTCGGACGGGTGGTAACGGGGGGTGACCCAAAAGAAGGGTTAAGAAAAGGACCCTAAAGGGCCCCTTTAGGGTCCTTTCATTCACCCCCCAATTCACAGGGGAACGAAGAATGACATAAACATAATCACTCCGACGGAAAGACCCCGCATGAAAATTCTTTCGGCTAATCTGGAAATGACCTTCACTGTCGTGCGGGCCCCATAGGGAAGGGGCTCCCGCCTGAGACTTCCTCACAGTTCACTCACACACGAGGCTCCCGCCTGATACTTCCCCCATATTCAAGCCTCAGGAGCCCAGAAGTGACGACGGTTACAGGTTCGAGGATGACCGGCTCGGATTCGAAACATGAAGTGCGGGCCCCATAGGGAGGGGGCTCCCGCCTGAGCCTTCTTCACAGTTCACTCACAGACGAGCCTCCCGCCTGATACTTCCCCATCTTCAGGCTTCAGGAGCCCAAAAGTGACGACAGTTACAGGTTCGAGGATGACCCGCTCGGTTTAAGGACGTGCAGTGCGGGCCCCATAGGGAGAGGGCTCCCGCCTGAGACTTCCTCGCAATTCACTCACAAACCAGCCTCCCGCCTGATACTTCCCCCATATTCAGGCTTCAGGAGCCCAAAAGTGACGACAGTTACAGGTTCGAGGATGACCCGCTCGGATTAGAAACATGAAATGCGGGCCCCATAGGGAGAGGGCTCCCGCCTGACATTCCCTCGCAATTCACTCACAGACGAGCCTCCCGCCTGATACTTCCCCCATATTGGGGCTTCAGGAGCCCAAAAGTGGATGACCGGCTCGGATTAGAAACATGAGGTGCGGGCCCCATAAGGAGAGGGCTCCCGCTTGAGATTCTCGCAATTCGCTCACAGACGAGCCTCCCGCCTGATAGTTCCCCCATATTCAGGCCTCAGGAACCCAATAATGACGGCAGTTGCAGGTTCGAGGATGACCCGCTCGGTTTAAAGACATGCAGTGCGGGCCCCATCGGGAGAGGGCTCCCGCCTGACATTCCCTTGCAATTCACTCACAAACCAGCCTCCCGTCTGATACTTCCTTCCTTCCTCCATATTTAGGCTTCAGGAGCCCAGAAGTGACGAAAGTTACATGGTCGAGGATGACCCGTTCGCATTAGAGAAATGCAGTGCGGGCCCCATATGGAGAGGGCTCCCGCCTGAGACTTCCTCGCAATTCATTCACAGACGAGGCTCCCGCCTGATACTTCTCCCATGCTCGGCCTCAGGAGCCCCAAAGTGACGACAGGTACAGGTTCGAGGATGTCCTGCTCGGGTTAGAAACATGGAATGCGGGCCCCATAGGGAAAGGGCACCCGCCTGAGACTTCCTCGCAATTCACTCACAGACGAGCCTCCCGCCTGATACCCCCTCCATATTCAGGCCTCAGGAGACCCCAAATGACGACAGTTACAGGTTCGAGGATGTCCCGCTCGGATTAGAAACGTGAAGTGCGGGCCCTATCGGGAGAGGGCTCCCGCCTGAGACTTCCTCGCAATTCACTCACAGAC